ATGAAAATGCAAATCCCGCGGGGGGGGGGGAGTATTTAAATCCCCCGCGGATTTGCCTATTCCAAAGTGCTACATTAGCATCCCTATTACAGAATAGGGGCCAATATAGACACAGCCAAAGTGAAATTGTATCCTTTCTACCAAGATTTCGTATAAGGAGACTCTTTGGAATCATGATGACTGCCAATGCCATTAATGCATCTGCTTTTTACTAGTTGCTTCACCACCCTTCTAGTGAAATAGTTTTTCCTAATATCCAAGCTAGACCTTTCCCACTGTCACTTGAAACCATTGCTCCTTGTTCTGCCATCTGTCACTACTGTGACCAGCCTTTCTCCAGCCTCTTTGGAACCTCCCTTCAGAAAGCTGAAGGCTGCTATCAAATCCCCCCTCACGCTTCTCTTCTGCAAACTAAATAAACCCCAAACCCTCAGTCTCTCCTCATAGGTCATGCTCTCCAGCCCCTTCATCATTTTGGTCACCCTCTGCTGCAAATTGTGCCACCTCATGCCTTTCTCCAGATCATTTTAAAATAGGTTGAACAGGATTGGTCCCAATATGGACCCTTGGGGGACACTACTAGTTACCACTCTACATTCTGAAAACTTACCATTTATTCCTACCCGTTGTTTCCTGTCTTTTAACTAGTTATCAATCCATGAGAGGACCTTCCTTCTTCCCATGACAGCTTACTTTACTTAAGAGCCTTTCTTGAGGGACCTTGTCAAAAGCTTCTGGAAAGTACACTATATCTACTGAACCCCCTTCAAAGAACTCTAGTAGATTAATAAGGCACGATTGCCCTTTTCAGAAACCATGTTGACTTTTCCCCCAACAAATTATGTTCATCCATGTGTCTGACAATGACACACAGAGGTCATCATGACTAATGAACAGCACAGAGACAAAGTGAATAGTTAATAAATGACCCACAGGCTGACATTTTTTTTCATATAAATTGTGATGTGAAATTAAGAACAAAAATATTTGTTGAAATTAGCATTGCATCATGAATGGAGTAAAGTATAGTAAGGACTGAACCTCTCTAGTCCCGCACCCTTAGCACCTGACGGGTGTTGAACTAGAGAATTTTCTGAACCGCAGGAAGTCAGTATTGTTTAGCCAATTACCAACACTTTTACTACTTACTGGGCTCTAAGGAGACATACAGCGTAAATCAGAGCTAAATGACAGTACATGATACGGAGAGTCGTAACTGGTGGCTGCAAGCAAACTTTATGGGTCTGTGGAAAACTTGACCACATCCATGGCAAGTGCACATTTGGCTAACTAAAATCATGCTGGACCATGGATTAGGGAGTGCTGGACTAGAGAGGTTCAACTTAGATTAACAATAAATATTATACCTGGTTAACTGGCAATCATGAAATAAGGTAAAAAAACAATTGATAAACAGATATCCAAAATGCCAGCTGCTATTTGTGCAGACATGCAAAGGAACATATGCTCTTACCTGAAATTCATCTTTTATCTGGCTGGAATTTGTCTGAGGATCCAGTCTGCTGATGTTGTAATATATGGATCTGAATTCACAAACTGGAATTGCTGTGTTGCCACAGAGACATGCCTCTAGAATAGCATCATGGACAAAGATGTACTGCTCCTGCAGATAATAGGGACAAGAAGCTGCAAAATCAACCCCATTCTAACTAAATATCACAAAACTTCATCGCAAACAATTACTGGGGAGTTGAAAATGCTGGTTCTGTTTGAATTGTACTCTCTACAGAATCTTAATTGAGTGTGTGCGTGCATGCACATGGACACATGTGTGTGGTGGAGATTACAATCTGAAGAGATCTCTTCAGTTAATGAGTGCATGGCTACTGCTGATGAGAAGCTGGTCTTGGCTCTGTGTACTTTGTGCCAAGGTGGCCTGGTTAGTATTGTACTTTTTACACACAAAAAAATGTAAAAAGAAAACTTGGATCTTATAGTTGGAACCAGTTCTCTGCTCCTTTGGGGGTGAGAACATCCCTTAATTTAATTACAGTAACCTGCAACATAAGTAGATGGCACTAATCCAGAAACATTCCTAGTGGGCAACAAAAATCAGAGATTCATACACGCTCCCTCTGCCATAGATTTGTAGGCTGTGTCTAGACTGGCCAGTTTTTCCGGAAAATTAGCCACTTTTCCGGAAAATCTTGCCAGCTGTCTACACTGGCCACTTGAATTTCTGCAAAAGCACTGACTTCCGACTGTAAGAAATCAGTGCTTTTTGCGGAAATACTATGCTGCTCTCGTTCGAGCAAAAGTCCCTTTTGCGCAAAACTTTTGCGCAAAAGGGCCAGTGTAGACAACTCAGATTTGTTTTGCGCAAAAAAGCCCCGATCGCGAAAATGGTGATTGGGGCTTTTTTGCGCAAAAGCACGTCTAGATTGGCCACAGACGCTTTTCTGCAAAAAATGCTTTTGCGGAAAAGCATCCGTGCCAATCTAGACGCGCTTTTCCGAAAATGCTTTTAACAGAAAACTTTTCTGTTAAAAGCATTTCCGGAAAATCATGTCAGTCTAGACGTAGCCATAGTGTAGAATGTGTTTCGTCAGTACAAATATTCATAGAGGACAAAATAAAGTGCACTCATTATGCCCATAAAATCTACATTTGTGCATGCAATTGAACAGTTGCCTGATTCAAACTGGGAAATTCTATTGCAAATGAGTTGCAAGATGGGCAGTTACAATTTCTGCAAGCACAACAGCTTTTGAGTGAACCCATTTTGTCCACCATTAAATATGTGGCTTTGAACAACCCCTTTCAAAATTAAATGCAAAATGCTAAGCCATCAGCCTTTGGACCCTAGAGAGAGCATAGAGAAAAAAAACAGCGTTAAACATTTAGCTTAGGATGAGTACCCCACAGAAGTTTAGGAGCATTATGCCCCTCCTGGTGATGGACTATCTGTAGACACTGCTGGGCTACGTCTACACTGGCCCCTTTTCCGAAAGGGGCATGCTAATTTTCAACTTCAGAATAGGGAAATCCGTGAGGGATTTAAATATCCCCTGCGGGATTTAAATAAAGATGTCCGCCGCTTTTTTCCGGCTTGGGGAAAAGCCGGAAAAAAGCGTCTAGATTGGCCCGATCCTCCGGAATAAAGCCCTATTCCGGAGGATCTCTTATTCCTACTTTGAAGTAGGAATAAGAGATCCTCCGGAATAGGGCTTTATTCCGGAGGATCGGGCCAATCTAGATGCTTTTTTCCGGCTTTCCCCAAAGCCGGAAAAAAGCGGCGGCCATGTTTATTTAAATCCCGCGGGGGATATTTAAATATCCCCCGCGGATTTCCCTATTCTGAATTTGAAAATTAGCATGCCCCTTTCGGAAAAGGGGCCAGCGTAGACGTAGCCCTGTAGTAAAACAACAAGATGCACGAATGGGTCTATACCATCTCTTTCTTCTATAAAGGTATAGCTTTCTTCTATAAAGGTATGGCCACCTAAGTTTGAACTAGGGTGGCTAATGTAGTCATTCGAACTTGCAAATATCCCGGGCTTCATTTGCATGTTCCCGGGTGCCACCATTTTTAAATGCCCAGTAGCTCCTGCCCGCAGCTATACGCAGCACGGGCTAGGTAGTTCTAATTAACACTCTTAATTCAAACTACCGTTACTCCTCATTGCAGGACTTCTGTTTACTGGTATTTGGGAAGATGCGTGGTTTTCCAAATTATAAATAATGTTCTTTATAGAGACTGTATTCTGGAAGTGGAGTTAATCAGAATTATAATTATTCCCCTCTTTTCTATGCTTTGTTGTCATGATTCAACTAGGTAATTAAGTACATATCCTACTTCAATCAAGTGACTATTTCCACTGAAGTCAGTTGGTTCATGTACATGCTTCAAGTGTGTGCTGACCCAGGCTTTTGATTGATTAGGGAAATGTATTTTGTGGAATATTCTACTTACTTGTTTAGCTACTTGTAATTAATTGATTTAGCTATTATTGTGATGTAATGCAACGTGATAGACTAGCAGAAGGGGTGAGGATTCAGAGGGGTTAAATCCACACAGCAACAATGGCACTCAGCAAGACAAGATGCAAGATAAAAATTGAACAAGGCACCAGGAGATGAATAGCAAGGTGCATGATTTATCTCCATGCTGGGGTACACTCAATATGTGCTTGTATGTGGGAGCATTTAATACATGCCTAATCAAACGTAACTACAAAAAATTCCATAAAATAATCTGGTGATGGAAACAAGCATTCACCTAACTCACTGATGGGCTCCTCTTGAGCAGAGGCTCAGAGGAGGGCTGTAAAACAAGAGAAAATAGCTGCTGGCACCTACCTCTGTCTGTACCAAATTGACCCGCTGGGATCTCAGCTCTCGCACACAGTTAAATATGTCTACGACACCTTCATTCTCTGCCATGTCAAGCATGATGTCAATGGCAATAAAGCATCCTGTCCTTCCGGCACCAGCGCTGCAAAAAAGAACGAAGCCCTGATCAATAGACCACGAAGAGGCAGGGTTATCAAGAAGGGGAAAAATATCTGTGCGTTGCTGGCACAGCTGTCTTCCTTCATTAGCTGCCTCTCTGCACAGACATAGTGGTCTTCTGTGTGGCTGAAATAGCTTGAGATGTATGAGGGTGAGGCAAGGTGGTTTTCTTGGGAAAAGGAAAAGAGAGAAAAGCAAGAAGAAAAACTTTGTTTCTTGGACACTAATAGAAAGATAAATGAAAAACAATATTCTAGCCTTGTCCAACAATACTTCACTTCCATAAGCACCTAAGCTACAGAATATCTGACTGTTGTGAACTGAGAGGGTGTGTCTAGACTACATGGCTCTGTCGACGGAGCCATGTAGATGAGGCAGGATGACAAAGGGAAATGAAGCTACGATTTAAATAATCGCTGCTTCATTTAAATCAAAATGGCCACTGCACTGTGCTGATCAGCTGTTTGTCGGCACAGCGCGGCAGTCTAGATGGGAATCTGCCAACCCCAGAACCCTTTGTCAGCAGATCCTTTATGCCTCGTGAAACAAGACTTACAGGATCTGCCGACAAAGGGTTCTGGGGTTGGCAGATTCCCATCTAGACTGCCGCGCTGTGCCGACAAACAGCTGATCAGCACAGTGCAGTAACAGCTGATCGGCACAGCGCGACAGCTTTTTTGATTTAAATGAAGCGGCGATTATTTAAATGGCAGTTTCATTTCCCTTTGTCAAGTAAGCTAATCTACATGGCTCTGTCGATGGAGCCATGTAGTCTAGACACACCCAGAGAGAAGAAACTCATGCTCTTGCAATTAGAGTCATATTAATAAAATATATTTTGGAAGGGGTTCTGCCATATGACTTTTCAAAGCACTCTACCATACTCAGGTACACATGTTGGAAGGGAGGCCCAGTTCAGAACCTACAAGATCCTTCTCTCATTTTAGTTGGTGGTACCCTAGAACTGTGCCTAGGGTAGGGATAGTCTAGGGTAGAGGGTTGTGAGACTATAGAAGAGAAGGGAACTTTAGGCTACTCAAATGCTTAAATTTAGAATCCATGCTGCTGGCAAGACTTGAAACTTCGTCCATGAGTGGTGTTGTCAATGAGTCCCAGCTCCTACTGGGAAATAATTTGAGATGTCTAGGTATGAAGGATAAAGAAAGAAGGAAGTCTCTCTCTCATCCTAGAGACATGGGAAAAACTCAGCTAGAGCCAAGAAAATGTTAGATGTATGGAACTCCAACCAGTGAAGTAAAGCAGGGAGATATGAATGGACATGAATTAATGAGCCAGATTAATCAAAAGCTGAACAGAGGGAAGGTATTTTTCAGTTGCAGAATTTTATTGACTAAGTGGCATATCCTCTCTCTTTATTGCTCTACTTTTCAAAATTTTAAGAAAACAGTTATAGCATTTCTATATAGAGAGGACATTGGCAGTTCATAAATATCGAGAAGTGATATTATCCAGCCCAGTACTGGTAGGGGGAATTTGGCAATTACCATTTAGAATTAGTCATTAAAATTCAAAAGAAGATAAATAACAGGGAGTGACTAGCATACATTCATTGACTAGCATATATTCATTAAAATGTGAAGGATGAAAAATCTCCGCCCACTTTCTCTGCAATGCTGAACAAGAGCAGTTCCTTTCCTAGGCCAGCCCCATGTCACAGCTCTGAAGTAGTAGACAGAAACCCCGAGTTGTGGAATAGAATAAGCACTATCAGTTCAAGGGGTTTCATTTCTATTTTATCATGAATCTGTCTGTCTTCTAAAACAGATTGAAAAAGCAGAGGGATTAGTTTATTTCCCTTTCTGGGGTGGTCTTTTGGGATGGGCAATAATTTGTGATGTGGGACCACTCCAAGAATTGGGAAAGTGGTCAAGGGCCGCACTCTTCCGTAATAGAGGAGGAGATGTGAGGTCTAGGACAGAGGTTGAGTACAGGAGGGAGCTTGCAGTCAGGCAGTAGCTCCCAGCCTTTCTGAACATACCTTTTCAATCTATTAAAATTTTACAGACCCTCCAAACAATATAGCTGTTTTCTAATATTCCATTACTTGATAATTATTTGAAATATAATAGGTCATGTTATCTAAACAAATATAGAAATATTGCGAGTATATTGTGACATAATACAGGATGTTCACATTGAAATGTACCAACTTTGAGGCATTTTTATACACTGTACAGTTATTTCAATTTGTATTTTCAACTTTTTGTGGACCCACTACAATACCATCGCAGACCACAGGTTGAGAACCACTGCAGTAAGGGATTCGGATGCAGAAGAGGGTGTGGGGTATAGGAGGGAGTTTGGGTGAAGGAGGCAGTTGTGACCTGGATTAGGTGACTAGGGTGCAGAGGTATGGGTTGTGACTTTGGATAAGAGGGGGTTGTGACATGGGGAAGAGGTCTGGGGTGCATGGGTTTGGGTTGTGACCTAGGGCAGGAGATTGGGGTGCAGGATTTGAGAGGGGGATATAGGTGAACGATGGGTGACAGAGGGTTTAGGTTGTGACATGGGGCAGGGGATTGGAATGCAGGATCCTGAAGGGGATATGGGGACAGGAGAGGGCAGAGAGTTTGGGTTATGTAGGGTACGGATGCAGGAGAGGGGGCAAAGGGTTTGAGTTGTGACCTAGGTCAGGAGGAGGCTGTGTCCTGGGGCAGAGAACTGGAATGCTAGATCTGAGAGGGGATATGGGGCCAAGAGTGGGGAAGATGGTTTGGGTTATGTGGGATAGCGGTGCAAAGCGTTGGGGTGCCAGAGGCAGGCTCTGGCTGGGAGACATACCTGCTCAACTCCCAGCCAGCAGCCTTCTCAAGCAGACCCCCTTCCTGCCCTGCCTCCACACTGGCTGCAGGGGCCATGTGGTTTTGAAACAGTTACAAGCCTAAGGTGGTGGGAGTGTGCTTCCCAAGATGCCTGTTGACAACAGGCAGCTCCTATTGGCTGAAACTAGTCACTGGGATTGTGTTGGGGGTGGGAGCAGCGCGTGAAGGCTCACAGTTGTTCAAACAGAACGGGGCAGCAGCTTCTTTCAGAGTGTGGCGGGGCGGGGGAGGAGGCAGGGAGTCTGCCTGAGACTCCCTTTTGCACCTGCGGGCCATATCTGGTGGCTTAGTGGGTTGGATCCAGCCTGCAAAGGGTATTTTGCCCAAGTCTTCCCTTGCCTCATTTGGTGTTTTGTAGCTCGTCATAGTGAGGATACTATAAGTGGTGGTCACAAAATTATCCATTTTTGTTTAAATTGAACTGCATTTTATTTTGTATTTGCTTTAATATAGGTATATAACCGCACCGTGGCCTCCAATCACTGAGCCAAGAGTAAGCAATATCCCACTGCAAGAAAAACTTTATTGGAACAGAGAAATAGTGTATATAGCATCGTGTTTCCTCAATGCTTTTACCACAAAAAACCATACAAATACCTGTGTATAGAAGAGGAACTTATATATGGAACTTAAAGCTAGCAAGATCAGAGAACACAGTCACTGTTTCATGCTTTCCTCTCCAAAGCAAATCGATCATAAGCAAATTACAACTGCTGTCCCATGCCTATGGCTATGTCTACACTGACTGTTTTGCTGGCAGTGAGTATACAAATGATTTGCTTAATTTATGCAAGCCAATTTTGTGCAAATGGTTTTTTCAGAAAAAAAAAGTTGTGTGGACATTTTCTTTTTGTGCAAAAACTCCTTTTCCTGCCAGAGCCTTTTGCCTCAAAAAAGGAGGTTTACCAATCTGGCGGGGAAAGGGGTTTTTGTGCAGAAAGAAAACGCCCACACTGCTTTTTTTCCTGCAAAAACCCTTTGCACAAAAATGGATTGCATCAATTATGCAAATGAGGCATGGTGATATGCTAATCTGCACTTCAGTTGCATACTCACTGCCGGCAAAACGGCAGTGTAGACTTAGCCATAGGCATGGGACAGCAGTTGTAATTTGCTTATGATCGATTTGCTTTGGAGAGGAAAGCATGAAACAATGACTGTGTTCTCTGATCTTGCTAGCTTCAAGTTCCATATATAAGTTCCTCTTCTATACACAGGTATGTTTGTATGTTTTTTTGTGGTGAAAGCATTGGGGAAACACGATGCTATATACACTATTTCTCTGTTCCAATAAAGTTTTTCTTGCAGTGGGATATTGCTTACTCTTGGCTCAGTGATTGGAGGCCACGGTGCGGTTATATACCTATATTAAAGCAAATACAAAATAAAATGCAGTTCAATTTAAACAAAAATGGATAATTTTGTGACCACCACTTATAGTATCCTCACTATGACGAGCTACAAAACACCAACATATCATTACAGAGTTGAGGAAGGAACTTTTCACTCCTGTCATACATAGCATAACTGGTTGCATGAATTTTGGAGGGCTAATGCTTCTCTCTGCTGCATCTGGCACTGAATTTGATGGCCCACTGGTCTAATCCAAACTAACAAAACAGCATTCCTATGCTGCAAGAACTTCACTATGTTTCCCAATCTAAATACTTACCAGGAGTAATTTTCTAACTTTGGGAAGGATCAGACAAGTCTAGCAGTAGGAGACTGTTTCTGAGAGGCAGTACGGATGAGTGGGTAGAACACCGGAGTTGGTTGGGAGACCTGGGTTCAGTTTCTGGCTGCTTCATGACATTGCCTAGCTCAATGTACTTTTCTATTACTTCAGTCTCAGAGGGTATGTCTACTTCAGTCTCAGAGGGTATGTCTACACTAGCTCGTTAGTTCGAGCTAGGTAGGCAAATGAGGGCAACCGGAGTTGCAAATGAAGCCTGGGATTTAAATATCCTGGGCTTCATTTGCATCTTCCCAGGCGCCGCCATTTTTAAATCGCCCTTAGTCCGAACTCCGTGCCCGTGGCTACACGCAGCACGGAGTAGGTAGTTCGAATTAATCGCTCTAATTTGAACTACCGGTACTAGAGATCCTAATTCAAACTACCGACTCATGCCGCGTGTAGCCGTGGGCACGGAGTTCAGACTAAGGGTGATTTAAAAATGGTGGCGCCCGGGAAGATGCAAATGAAGCCCGGGATATTTAAATCCCAGGCTTCATTTGCAACTCCGGTTGCCCTCATTTGCCTACCTAGCTCGAACTAACGAGCTAGTGTAGACATACCAAGATATTTGAGCTTTGTTCACTCTCCTAGTCAGGGACTGTTTTCTCAGTGTTTTATAGGGCCTAACTCAAGAGGGCTCCAGTCTCAGTTGGGGACTCTAACAGCCCCTGTACTACCAATTATAATTATAACAATAACCTGAATAATGTTCAGAGTTAGTGAGCATACGATCCAATATTTTGAGTCTTCCCTCTTCTTAGACAAGCAGGTGTTTCTAGTACACTTTGTCTAAGTTGTTCTTAGGAAGCTACATGGCAGATTTCCAGAATAAAATTAGGACCTCAGACTTTAGGCTAAGTGAAACCTAAAAACTACCTATCCTGGGCCCATCTTGCTGATGGCTGAAGAGCACAATGTAGAGGCCGTGGTGTGTATGTGTGTAGATGCAGAGACAGTTGAAAGTTCCCTTATGCATTCCCTGAATCCATCATTTGATGTTGCTCTAAGTTACGTCAGGTGAAATTACACCCAACGACGGATAACCCAGCCATTCACCATTTTCCCCTGCTGCACTAGCAACATGGATGACACTGGGCTAAGCACCCCTATGGCACCAGAGGATCCTTTTCATTGGAGTGAGCCTCCCTGGTCCAGTGATGCCCAATCTAGGGCCAGTTTATACCAGTAATGAAGCATAAAGCAGCCACTGCACAATGGAGAACCTGTTCCAACGTGTGCAAGTACACCTCTAAAGCTGGTAAGCTATACTGCTGGCAACAAAAGGTGGTCACTAAGCTGAAAGAAACAGGAAAAAAAGTAAGAAAACTGACAGGGAGAGAAACGAGTGATGACAGACAAGTAGACAGACAGATTGCATACCTGCAGTGCACAACTATAGGCCCCGCCTCAGGCGGATTGAGGAACTTCACCTGCCGAACAAAGCCCAAGAGACCTGTGGCATAGCAAGGAACCCCGTGGTCTGGCCAGCTGGTGAAGTGGAACTGCCGAATCTCTCGGATCTCATGGTAGCCTTTCTGAGGAGACAATGTAACTTCTATTTTTCTCCCTTCACAATCACCATCACCGTATTTCACAGTGTTCTTTACCCATTCAGAGGGCTGAACAGCCATTCAAATGTAATTATATAAAGCCATATATTCCACTTCTCATTTCTGGAGATTTCAGGATGGAAGAACAAGAGACTACATCTTCCACTACAACTGAAGCGCATCATGCAAGCCTAAGGATTATGAAAGTGGAGACCAGCTCCCCACTGACCGTGTAGAACAATTTAAAATTAGCTTATCAGTAACATTATGGGAAGTTTTGTGGCACCTTAGAGACTAACAAATATCAATGTATCATGAGCTTTTGTGGGTAAAACCCACTACTCATTTGATGAAGTGGATTTTACCCATGAAAGCTCATGATATAATATATTTGTTAGTCTCTAAGGTGCACAGGACAGCTCATTGTTTTTAAAGTTACAGGCTGACATGGTTACCCCACTGAGACTTAGTAACATTAAGGGTTACCTTCAATGCTAGACTACCTTGGATGAACCACACCTGCAGAGAGAGACTGCTAGTGGAACCAATTCCAAGTCCCTTCCATTAATTTTTCAGATGAAGTGAATGTTGTGCTAATGATGGATAGGCCTGAAGACTGGAGGACAGAGCAGTTATGCAAAGGCTATTGAAAGAGCAAGCTTCCCTAAAATCATTGATCAATGCATTTCAACCCTGGGAAGGAGGGGTTGGATCTAGTACTTAGAGGGTAGTTATTTTGTTTCCATGCCAAACTTTGGCATCCAGTCGGGATGGTACAAACAAAGGCATCAGTTGCTCTCTGATCTGACAGCTACTTTTCCTCTAGGAACTGGACCAATGCCATCAGTTTAGCTTCCTGGGTCACTGACATTTTGGGTTATGACAGAAGTGCAGTGTTCCATATTCTATTACCATTCTCTTTGATCTGCCAGATCTGCCTTTGGTTATTTCTCACCAAACAGTTCAGCGGTTCAAGAGAACATGAAATTGGGGAGTAAGAAACGAGAGCATATTCCAGTATGCCTGTGATGGTGGAAATTTTAGAAAGCTATAAAAACACTTATCAAGTGCGAGAGATGTCATTTGGGAAGACTTGTAGTGGTCTGTTTTTAAACTTCCAATTTCCACCAGTACTTAACAAAAACCTTCCACCAAATTGCAGATTTTGGGAAAGTACATGTAGTTAGGCGCTAATTTTTGCATTTGTTTGAAAAGAATCAGGCCTCTGCTTGAGAGCCAACTTAATCTGTTGCTTCCCCCTCCCCCCCACCTGTAACAAGCCAATGTGAATAATTATAGTTACTATTTATGGCATGTAGCCATCTGCCTACTGAATTCATGGATGTATTTAGCCATTGAGTGCTATGATTAGTATCCATAGTTTTTGTGCTTCTCTCTAGTTCAGGCCTGGGCAAAATATGGCGCACGGGCTGAATGCAGCCTACGGATGCAGTGGGGAGCCCCAGGCAGGCTCCTCTGATTGCCTCCTAGCCCTTCACACTGCTCTGAAAAGCAGCTGCAGGGCCATTTCTCTTTAAAAACTGCGAGCTTGGAGGGGAAGGGGGAAGGTTTCAGGCATAACTCCTGCCCCCCAGCACAATCCCACTGGCCAGCTTCTGGACAGAAACCAGCCAATCGGAGCTGCCTTTTTGAATAACAGGCAACACATGAAACCCCACGCCCCCTCCCCTCTAGCTTAGTTATTCACACAAGCATATGGCCATGCAGCCTGTGCAGGAGTGGGGAAGGCAGGCAGGCTGGCTGAGAAACTTTTTAAGCTCTGCAAGCATTTAGCTGTGCAGGCAGGCAGGCTGGTTGGGCTGCTGGCTGGTAAATCTCCTGGCCAAAGCCTGTCTCTGGCACCTCATTCCCTTGCTTCCCCAGCCCTCTGTCCCCCACAGTCAACATACCGAAACCCTCTACTCCCCACCTGCACCCATACTCCCTCCCAGCGGCGGATATAGGGCAGGGCAAGCGGGGCTACTACCCCTGGCGCCACGTGTTGCACGGTGGAGGAGCGCATGTGCGATGTGCTCAAACGCCGCGCAACACAGGTTAGAGAGGAGATACCTGGTGAGAGGGGTCCCATGAAATTGTGCTGCCCTGGGCCCTGCAAAATTCTCATCCGCCCCTGCTCCCTCCCAGATCTGGTACCCCAATCCCCTGTCCCAGATCACAATCCCCTCCTACCCTAGGTCACATTCTAAAACCCTGGATGTTCACCAGTTCCCTGTCCTAGGTTACAAGTCCTTCCTTCACTCAAACTCCCTCCCAGACCCCACTCCCTCCTGCACCCCAATCCCTTACCTCCATCCCATACCCTGTACCTTTTCCATTAATATCAGACAAGAGTGTGGCCCTCAACCATTTTCCAAAATATTAGAGTGGCCCCCTATGAAAAATTATTGTCCACCCCACCCTAATTGCTAATGAGAACTTGGAAGATGTTCCATAAAAAGATAGAAATGAAGTAAAAATTTAACCCTCTTTTATCTACAAGCTTCCTGGCTATGTCTGTGTGGAACCATGCTTCAGATACTAAGTGAGTTATGTCTGAAGCAAAATTGATCTTACCTTTTGCACAGTAAATGTGCGTATGACATACTCTGCCAATGGCTCTGTCTCAATTAAAGTGACTTTAATATCTCCATAGACTTCTGTGTCATCTGGCCAGTATCTAACACATTTCACCTATAAAAAGAAGAAATAGATAGTAGGAATGAAGCTGGTAAAAGATTTGTGTAATTAAAATCCAGTGCAAACTGGGACCTTCAGTGAAGGTGTAAAGATGTTCACTTAGCTGCATACAAACATTTCTACATTTCTAATTATTTCTAAGATTATGTAAGGTTTCAAGATCTTCCAGTTGTGATTGGGACTAAATTCTGGAGCAGGCCACACCATAAATGAGTCTGTTCTCACAAATTTCTCAGCCCAGTTTTGCAGATATAATTGTTTTGACCAATTCAGAGCAGTATCCAAATTTTTGAGCACTCATTAGAAAAAGGACCCAGATGGAGTTTTGGGGGCTCTCTTGGAGTCTGCTGTGTTGACTAATTCTGCAAGTTAACAAGGCACACATGACTGAGCATACATGCAGGCAACCTTTTGGTTATCATAACTGACAGAACAGGAGACCACGACAGTAAATCCTGACCTACTACAGGAACTCCCCATGTAATAATTGGAATTTCTGGAGATTATTTCAGCAGGCAAGGAACCAGTATCCTGAGTAAATGGGAGATAAGGATAGTGCTTTCAGCATTGTGGGCCAAACAAATTTGCTGATGGAAGCATGTGTAAAACCTCAAACGAGTAAAATTTCCCAAAAGGGGGTTGAGAAAAAAAGACTGGACACTGAAGAAGAATAGGGAACACAGGGGAATAGGGTAGGAAACTAGGTTGGGATAAAAGAAGCGGGAAATATGCCGTTTGAAGAGGGATTTTTCCCTTTGAATCACTGTGAAGAGCAATCCCCTGGCCTTAGTCAGGCTTGTTAGGATCCTCAGAAACCATTAAGCCTACCTTCTTTGCTCAGCTACTCGGCTCACCTTCCAAACCCATTTCCTAGATCCACTAGAATCTTGGGGTATGTCTACACTAGCTCGTTAGTTCAAGCTAGGTAGGCAAATGAGGGCAACCGGAGTTGCAAATGAAGCCCGGGATTTGCATGTTCCCAGGCGTCGCCATTTTAAAATCTCCCTTAGTCCGAACTAACTGCCCACGGCTAGATGCGGCAGTTAAACGTTAATTCAAACTAACTCCTTAAGCCCGGGATTTTTAAATCCTGGGCTTCATCTGCAACTCCAGTTGTCCTCATTTGCCTACCTAGCTCGAACTAACGAGCTAGTGTAGACATACCCTTGGTTATTTAAAAAAATAACACTCCCTGCCCCCGCTCCCATGTCTGACCCTGCTTCACCCTCCTGCTTATCCCTCTAGCCTCTCTGGTCCTCCCACCCCAAGGTCCCCGCACACAAGGCGGAGGAAGCACCCAAGCCACATGCCACTTCCAGCCCCAGCCCTGAGCTCTCCTTCCCCCTTCCAGGTTCTCAGTCCCTCTCCTCCCCCAAATAAATCACAACACAGTTCTGTTTTTATCAGCCAAACAGTTTTTATTTATTGTGTGTTGCAGGAGAAAGGAGCAGAGTGGGGAAGGGAGGGGTTGCTGGGGGAAAGGCATAGAGGGGCAAGCATAGGTACTCTCCCCGCTCCCTCCCCAGTTACTTCTATACCAAATAAATCACCACACAGTTCTTCTTTTTCAACCAAACAGTTTTTTTATTGTCTCTGTAGGAGAGAGAAGGATGGAGGGAAGAAGGGAGGGGATGTTGGAGGAAAGGCACCAAGGGGTAAGGCACAGACCCCTAGTGGGGAGGCCCTGGGTAGAGTGTTACTGGGGTCCTTGTGAGAAACTCTCCCTCAGGACCTCCCAGCTGCGCACTCCTGCCTGCCGGGTGGCAGCTGTGCATGGCTGCTCAAAGGCCCTTCCCTCCCGGCCAGACTCTGCCTCCCACCCTGGAAGGAAGGCATGCGGATACCACCTGAGGGATGTTCTGCTCCCCCACATCCAGGCAGGTCAAGAGGCACCTGAACATTGCCTTGAGAGACCTGAGAGCACACTCCACCTGCATGTGGACCCTGCCCAGGTGTTCAGTATATGGCTTCATTAGCCATGGTACGAGAGGGTAGGCCACATCCCCCATGATGCACAGTGGCATGTCCACATCGCCAACCCCAATGCTGAGCTTGAGGAACAAAGTGCTGGCCTCCAGCTTCAGAAAGAGGCTGCAGTTTTTGAACATGCAGGTGTCATTCGCCTTCCCCAACCAGCTGATGAAGATGTCAAAAAACTGGCTGCAGTGGTTGACCAGGGCCTGCAAAAGCATTGAAAAGTATCCCTTCCGGTTGATGTACTGAGATGCCCGGTGGTCTGGATGGGGATAGGAACCGTCAATAGGGACCCCCACAGTTGAGGAAGCCCATGGTGGCAAAGCCGGAGATGGGGCTTCTCCAAATGGATGACCTTGAGCAGCAGGACAGTATTGATGGCCCTCATCACTGACAGAAGGAGACAAACAAACAAAACAGAGAATCAAAGGGGTGTCAGAACCCTTGGGAGGTCTCTGAGCCCCCTTCTTGCCCCTCTAAACACTCTAGGAGCTACCCCCTATGTAGTCTGCCTCCCTGCTGTGTGAAGGCAGGACTGGAACCTATGTAGTCTGCCTCGTTCTGTGTGAGGGCAGGGCTGGAGAGCCACCTGGGGACATGGGCTCCCCCCCTTCCCCACCCATTGCATTACTAATCCCCTTTTCTTTAGGGTCCCCCTTTTCAGTACTTCCCCCCCTTTCCTGGGACTGCAGCCTAAGAGTGCCATACCTGCATAATGAGGGCTCCGACAGTCAACTTCATCATGCCAAACTAGTTCCTGATGGATCGGTAACTGTCTGGCATGACAAGCTTCCAAATTGCAATGGTGACCCGCTTCTCCGGGGAGATGGCAGGTCATATTTGCATGTCCCATCATGTGAGGGCAGGGGCGAGCCAGGTACAGTTCCAGGTACGTCTCCTTCCTCATATGGAAGTTCTGGTGTCACTGCTGGTCATCACACCACTTCATAATGAGTTAGTCCGACTGGTCAAAGTAGTGTACAGCAGACCGAAGCAACACTCCACAGTGGGGTGCATCTGAAAGTGCTGCACTCCCAGACACCTGTTGAGGGTCTCCTCAAGCAGCTTGGAGTCATGTTCCTGCAGGACCTGGAGGGCAGCCTGCAGAAACTGCTGCAGAAACTGAAGCACAACAGTCAGGAGCCATCACGTGCCCAGAAGCAGATCCAGCTCTATAGCAGGGAGTGCTGTGGTGTCCAAACACAGGGCAACCAAAGCACACTGTGGAAATGCTTTGTTGTCCCTCAGGGTATGTCTACATTAGCCCTCTAGTTTGAACTACCGAGGCTAATGTAGGCATTCGAAATTGCAAATGAAGCCCAAGATTTAAATAGCCTGGGCTTTACTTGCATCTTCCCGTCTGGACGCCATTTTTAAATCCCTGTAGTCCGAACTAACTCCCCACAGCTACACGCGGTAGTCAAATGTTAACTCGAATTAAGGACTTAGTTAGAATTAATGTTTGACTGCCCCGTGTAGCCATGGGCAGTTAGTTTGGACTAAGGGGATTTAAAAATGGCACCCAGATGGGAAGATGCAAATAAAACCCAGGATACTTAAATACATAAGAATGGCCGTACTGGGTCAGACCAAACGTCCATCTAGCCCAGTATCCTGTCTACTGACAGTGGCCAGCACCAGGTGCCCCAGAGAGGGTGGACCAAAGACAATGATCAAGTGATTTGTCTCTTGCCATCCCTCTCCAGCCTCATTTGCAACTTCGACTGCCTACATTAGCCTCTCTAGTTCAAACTAGGGGGCTAGTGTAGACATACCCTCAGAGAGGTAGGCAAGCAGGAGAAGAACCTGAGAACCAGCTGTACAAGGGGGGGGGGTCCCCTTTAAGCTCATGTCTCAGGTCCAGTAAGTCACTGCTGACCTAATGCCTGGACTGGTCCTGGGTGGTTTTAAATGTGAGGAAGTATCCAATCAGTGCGGACACTATTTCGAAATAGCAAATCTCTATTTCGATGCACTTTGTGTGTGTAGACATGTTATTTTGAAATAAGCTATGCTGGAAGCTCTACACAGTCTGCTTTGGTCTTAACTATCTTGAGCTGTTTGGTATCATCTGCAAATTTTGTCACCTCACTGTTTACCCCTTTCTCTAGAACCATGGTCACTGACTGGTTGCTCGTGAGGCCTCGACCAGTCGATCGCTAGGCATCCTGTCCGCGCCGCCTCCATTTCCTTACACCCCCCGAGAAGCCCCACTATCTACCTCAGTGAAAATGGAGGTAGTGTCAGCTTCCCTGGGATGGACAGAAATCCCACAGCTTAGCACCACTTCCAGCAAGGCACACGTGGGGTTTCCCTGCACCGTGTGAGAGGGATGTTTTGGCCCCGGGGCAGGCACACGTGGGGTTTCCCTGCACCGTGTGAGAGGGATGTTTTGGCCCCGGGGCAGGCACACGTGGGGTTTCCCTGCACCGTGTGAGAGGGATGTTTTGGCCCCGGGGCAGGCACACGTGGGGTTTCCCTGCACCGTGTGAGAGGGATGTTTTGGCCCCGGGGTAGGCACGCGTGGGGTTTCCCTGCACCGTGGGGGGAGAGGGGGAGAGTTGGGCCCCAAGGAGGCACATGCCAGCTTCCCTCTGAGGGAGGGGAATCCTGGGAGGAGGCAGATGCAGGGGACTCTGCCTCCACTGACTCCCCTCCCGCCTCCTGTTCCCACTCCCCCTTCCCACTGCTCAGTTTCCTTTCCCTAGTCACAGAACTCTGTCCCCAGTCTCCTGTCCCCAGCTACAGAGTTGTCCCCATTCCCATCCCCACTTTTTGAACTCTGTCCTCATTCCCCTGTCCCGAGCCACAAAACTCTGTCCCCAATGGCACCCTGTCCCCTGCCAAAGCACCCACTAGCACCCTTAACCAGAACTATGTCCCCAGTTCCCACCAACACAGTTAGGGCCACATTAGTGAAGCTTGGGAGGTGGGTGGAGGAAGGTTTTTTGCATATCACTTGTGGGGCCCCAAACTGACTTTTCTGGGGTCAGTGACCCCTGACTCAAGACAGGTTCCCTGCCATTCTCAGAAATAAAGACAATGCAGAAACTTTGTTTGATACAGTATTTTATTTAAAAATGAAGCCTTGCCAAACAACCCCAAATTGGGGCTAAGAACCCATCTGGCCAGGCATCATAACACTCCAACATCTGAGCCTGTAATACACTGGAACCCCTGCCCTGAGCCCCTCACGTACCCCAACCCAAATTCCTGACCCCTCACATCCAGAAGTCTGTGGCTTGTTTAGTACCCTAACCCTACATCTGACCCTAACACTGCCTGGCCTGGCCCGGCCCCCTCTCTCCAAGCCAGTATCCCCTTATCCACCTTTTCCTGCATCCAGATTTCCTCCCAGAGCTTACACCTCTCACCCCTTTCCACACCCAAATCCCTCATTCCCACCCCACAGCCTACACATCCTGTCTCAACCCAGCAAGGTTACAGCTAAACTGCAGGAGTTTTTCAGGATTCTGGAGATATCCCAGAAAAACTCTTCTGCATCCACAGATGCATTTGTTCTTCTTCTACTTTTAGTGGAAGAGCAAACATGATCTTTCGGTCACCTCTATATTCCTCTTTCAACGAGGAATAAGGGGGCTTCCAAAGGATACAATTTAAAAAAAATGAACACACATGAAAAGGACAAATCACATTACAGAACAGAAGGGGGATGTGGGGGGGGGGGGGGGGGGGAGGGAAGCAATGGTATAAGAGTTGAGGATAGCAAGTGACGGAGAGGAGGAAAATAGAGAGGGTGGAGCTTCAAGGAAGGGGCGGGGCAGTAGATCTTGGCTTGTTCTATCATTTAAAAAGTGATCTTGGGTGTGAAAATGGAGACCACTGCTCTAGAATTTTTAAAATAGGATTAGTCCTAAGACAGACTCTTGGGGGATCCCACTAATATCTCTCCCCCCTTGGAAAACTTAGCATTTATTCCTACCCTTTGTTTCTTGTCTTAACAAGTTATCAGTCCAAGACAGGAGCTTCCCTCTTATCCCATGATAACTTACTTTACTTAAGAACTTTGGTGAGGGACTTTGTCAAAGACTTCCTGGAAATCTAAGTATAATATATCCACTGGACCCCCTTGTCCACATACTTGTTGACCCCCTCAAAGAACTCTAGTAGATCCTTAACTGTCTCCTGGAAGGGGTGGGACCTCAGAAGGAAGGGGTGGAGCCTTTAAATACCAGGAGTCGAAGGGACTCATGCCTCCCCTGCAGCTACAGGCATCACATTAGCCAGAGACAGGAGCTGCGAGCCCTTTCAATTGCTCCTATTTAAAGGGCTTGTGCCTGCCCTGGGCTGTTGCCTGACAGGTGTGGGGAAAGTGCTCCCAGGCAACATGCTAGGGGGAGGGGCCTGGAACAGACACACGGGTCAGATGAAAACCCTAGGCAGGCTGAATCTGGCCCACTGAGTGGCTTTTGTGCACCCCTGATTTAAGTACATGTAGTAAAAACAAACAAAATCTGAGGCTGTGCATAGTGATCAAGAGTTGAATGAAAGGTATGTGTTTCAGCTAGCCAAGCAGACACCTCCCACTGTGACCCCATTTCCCCCTCCTGTTGGGAAGAGGAACATGGGAGAGCTGATTTCAGTAACTGTCACTTATCTCTTCTGCACCCACCCACCACCTCACATTTGGGAAGCAGCAGCTGCCCCCCACCCCTGCTAAAAAAGTGAGTGAAGCTTCTGATCCAGGGAGTAAGGAGGACAGGACCTTCAGCTGATTGGAGGGGAGAAGATGTCAATTTAAAGGTCCCCAACAACTCTAATGTCATACCTCCCTCCCCTGCTGGTAACCTAGCCCTCCCCCGAGTTCCCCTATGGGAAAGCAACTGTTCGTTCTTTACATAACCTCACCCTGCACAGCTTAAGCAGCAGCCTTCGTTCCTCCCTGCTATCCAATCTCAGCTACTCGGCACACATGCTGCTTGTTTATTTCTCCTCTCCTGGCCCCAGGCTGTCTCCAGCAAGTAGGAGAGGGAGGGGGAGAGCTGGACAGGCAGACCCTGGGAGAAAACTGCATAGGGATAATGTGATCCATTGTAGTGCATGTCCCACCATCTTTCACCTCTCTGCAAGGAAGGGATAGGGTTGGAGCACAAGTGTGTGCACAGTGTACCAGTCCTGCTGGCAGAACCAAGAGAAAGCCCTTTCGGGACACCCTCTGTGCCAGAGAGAATGGAAAGCCCCCCACACATCCACCCAGCTGCTGCTCCCACTAGAGCAGAGGAGTTACTGGGACAAGTGAGTGCATGCTTCTGTCCTCTGTGACCCTGGATGCTGTATTTCCCCTCTTGCATAGCTGGCTGGCCCCAGGTAAGGTCCATGTGACACACACACACACACACACACACACACACACACATATATGCACCCTCCTCAGCACGTCACTCTGGGCAGCTGCCCTCCTTGCATGTGTCTAGGGCTGCCAGTGCCTTCACCAATCACTGGGAACTTCCCATATTTTTACTCATATGGCACTTTGCAGGTAAAGAGTAAGTAACATTCCACAGGACATTTTGTAGTTCAGGGATCTGTTTCTCAGCTATTGTAAATTAGTGTAACTCCACTGAATTGAAGAGTTGAACCAATTTATACTAGTTGAGGTTCTCACCCAATATATTTTTATCTAGAAGTAGTAACAACAACATGGAGAAAGGTAATCATCAGAGGAAGGGAAGCAACTAGAAAATCATAAAATTATAGTTTTAAAGAAGAAACATGAGTGGTATAATATAGTCTCTTGTTCTTCAAGATACAGTATTTGAAAAACATTTGCAAGATGGTTAGAACAGTAGAAAGTTACTATACCAGCTGCTATTTTGGATGCATCTGGTGAGGTAGTGATAGAGAGCCCTGGGAATACATCATCCTTACCCTGCCAACTTCTACCAGGTTGGTGACCATGACAACACTTGCAGAATTCTCCTGCCAAATCATTCTCCAGAAATCCTTAACTGTCTCCTGCATGGGACCTATGGCAGAAGGGGGAAAAAAGGATCTCTTATGACATGGGTTTTGCCCATGAAATCTAAGGTGGTGTAGCCAGACAGGAACCCTCCCCCTCCCCCCCGTAACATCCATTTTTGCTTGCCTGGAGCATACAGGGCACACAGAGCAATAAAAGCCTTGAACAGAAGGCCTGGATATGCCAGCTCAGTGACCCTGAATGGCTGTAAACAGAGATATGCCAATTGCTGATCAAGAGGCTGCCGAGGAGTGCCCTTGTCTGAAACCCATATTGATATGAACACACAGCCATCCGCGGGGGGAGGAATCTCCTGCCCAGTAAAAAGAATGTCCAGTATTCACAATTTAGTTCTCTTGCAAGTGTAAATTAAGTTGAAACTTGCTTGTAAGAACTGGTGCCACAAAAACAGACCAGTACAATTCGGCCTCTTAGATAAGAAAGAGGATACGGGCCTGTATGGATATAAAGATGGGTCCAGCAGCACCCTTACTTTGAGTGTCAGTTTACCATTTTCAAGAATGCCTTTTTTCAAAAGAGCACTTTCGAAAAAAGGCGTTCTTCCTCGTGAAACGAAGTTTACCACCGTCAAAAAACCACCGTGTTCTTTCAATTTTATTTCTAGGTGTTTGACCTCCCAGGGTTCCACAGGGGACCCTACCTTGTATTCATGTTTCCTAGGAATTGAGGGACCATCCCTGTCCTGATACGCTGGAGTTGAGAGGCACAGAAGGGGTAAAAATTGTAACTGTATATGTCCTTTGTCTTAAGTGTACACATAGATTTAGAGCTCTTTAAAGATTAAGCTGTCACTTGGTACCATTATTTCTATTTTCTATCTTTATTTTCTTTGTAACCATTTTAAGATCTATATTTGCTAGCAGTTAAGAAATGGAGCAATAGCCATTGTAACCATATGATTTATAAGTTTTTTTTAATAAACCTGTAACTGTTTAAGTTTTAACCTGACTCCTTCAGTTGCTGTAACAGAACCAAGCACAATTTAAAAGAACTTCAGCCGGTCATAAGGGATAGATACAGGCAGAGCTCGGCATTTGGATTGTGTCGCTTCCAGGGGACAGATCTGTTGAGGCATCTCTCAGTCTTCCCTAGACTGCGCGCTGCGAAGGGATCCTGTATCCTAGTAGTTAAAAATCTGAGATGTAATAAGCTCTTCCTATAAACTCTGGGACGTCTGTCAGCCTGTTGGCTGCGCTCTGCGACAGGACTCTGGTCCTAGCACTAAAGACAGATGATAAACTTCAGGGCACCCGTCAGTCTCTCCTAGACTGCTCACTGTGATGGGGCCTTGTGTCTCAGCAGTTAAAGACTCGGGTGTAACACGCACAAACACACACACACTGCCCTGACCATTGGCTGACAGGTGCCACAAGACTTGTTTTTAAAGTTACACCTACCCTTCTTAAAAGGGTATGTTTAACATCACCAATCCATTTCAGCTGTTCTTGCTGGCAGCCTTGTTCACCTTTAATGCCACCCTTCTTACAGGATATTTCCTTGCTCTTCAAGCTGACATCTGCTGTGTATTGGGTTGTAGATTAGATATAGTAAGTGAGGTAGGTTACTAGGGGTCAGCCCCGCGAGTTTGGGCAGGTTCTAGTTCTGTGTTATGAAAAAATGGACACTTGCAACTGCTCAAGCTCTGTGTTGGTCTACCCTCACTGTCCCCATGTCCACCCTCTCTGTACATCTGCACTTCCTGCACCCATGTACCCTCAATATCCATCTCTATTTTAATACAATGATCGATTTTAATGTATAGACATAGAAGGGGCCCTAGCACAGGTGCAAGGTGTCTGCATAGATGGACGGGAGTGAGTGTAATTGGTGGTGAGGGAAGGCGATTCTGGCAAGTGGTTTAAGAAAGGAGGGGGACTGAATGGCTAAGAAGGAGTTCTGCAGAAAAGGACTTGGGGATTACAGTGGATGAGAAGCTGGATATGAGACGACAATGTGCCCTTGTAGACAAGAAGGCTAATGGCATATTAGGTTGCATTAAGAGGAGCATTGCCAGCAGATCCAGAGAAGTGATTATTCCCCTTTATTTGGTTCTGGTGAGGCCACATCTAGAATAGTGTGTCCAGTTCTGGGCCCCTCCACTAGATAAAGGATGTGGATGCATTGGAGAGGGTCCCAGCAGAGGGCAACCAAAATGATTAGGGGGCTGGAGCGCATGACCTATAAGGAGAGACTGAAGGATTTGGGTTTGTTTAGTCTGCAGAAGAGAAGAGTGAGGGGGGATTTGATAGCAGCCTTCAACTTCCTGAAGGGAGGTTCCAAGAGGATGGAGAAAGGCTGTTCACAGTAGTGACGGATGGCAGAACAAGGAGCAGTGGTCTCAAGTTGCAGTGGGAGAGGTCTAGGTTGGATATTAGGAAAAAACTATTTCCCTAGGAGGGTGGTGAAGCACTGGAATGGGTTACCTAGGGAGGTGGTGGAATCTCTATCCCTAGAGGTTTTTAAGTCTCGGCTTGACAAAGCCCTGGCTGGGTTGATTTAGTTGGAATTGGTCCTGCCTTGGGCAGGGGGCTGGACTTAATGACCCTCCTGAGGTCTCTTCCAGCTGTATGATTCTAAAGGGGTATGAGGGCAGTAGGACATCAGAGCTGCATGGAGAAATAGATATCAATGTTAATAGCTAACATGAATCTTCATATTGCTTGTCTTTTTGTGTGTGGGAAATTTCCCCACAAAAATCTTCACCAATTTAGGTGTGAGGATGCTCATTTACAGCTCTGTCCACTGCAAATCCTGAAAGTCACCAATTATGGATACTGTTTCAAACACACCACCCTCCTTCCACAGGCCTCACCAGACAAACATCATAATTAAATAGTCTCAGATTCTTCAGCTTCCTAACAAGCCCCCTTTCAATTCTGACTCACCTGAATACACAACCGATCCCTCAATCACATTCCAGTGCACAACTTAGGCCTCACTCTTTATGAACAAATTATTCATTATTAACATAAAGAACATCTAGAGATGTGCAGTAGTAAAGTCAATCTAGCTCAGGCTGTGCAGTTGAGTATGTTTCAAATATCCTCAGAAGCAGTGGATTAGAAGGTGTCTGACATTTTCTGTGTGGGAATCCCCTTCTCGACTTTATAGGTATCAAAACAGCAGATTTACTCTAAGTAGCTCTAGGATCAGTTTAGCACATAGTATTTAGAGAAAAATATAGATGCAAGATACTGTAACTTGCCTTGAGTTGCAATGTAGTGTCGAGGCCGGTGGTATCCCTGGAAAAAAGAAAATCACGTCAGAGCAAGCAAACTGGCATACATTCTATTTCAATTGTTGTGTTGTGAATGAGGCACTAACTAATGAGCACATAGAAACCCTACATGAGACACGAGATCTCTGTCAAATGGAAAATGGCAGGAACTGCTTTAGTCCTGCAACCATCACAAAATGTTTGGCGTTTTCATGAGAATGTATAAGGATGGATTTGACTGTACCAAAGAAGAATGAGGCATTTTCACATTTACTCAAAGAAGCAGCAAGTCCTGTAGTTAAACCATGGGCACTGTGGGAAACCAGCTTCACTACTTAGATTATAAGTTAACAAGCAAAAATCTGCCCTCTGGTCTGAGATGCATACATCTGCCTCTATAGAACAGACTCAATGGCTGTGTCTACATTTGCATGATCTTGCTGCCTGTTTACACTGGCCACGAGTTCTTGTGCAAGAACACTGACGTTCTAATATAGGAAATCAGTACTTCTTGAGCAAGAACTATGATGCTCCTGCTCAGGAATAAGCCCTCTTGTGCAACTGTTCTTGTGCAAGGACAGTGTAGCCAGGCAACATGAATTTCTTGCACAAGAAAGCCCTGTGGTTAAAATGGCCATCAGAGCTTTCTTGTGCAAGAGAGCGTCCACACTGGCACAGATGCTCTTGAGCAAGATCATGCCAGTGTAGATGTAGCCAAATCAGTGTTTAAGTATATTTTCAGTTTCCTCCACTAGGGTTCTTCATAATACTGTAATGTTACTAAGGGTATGTCTACACTACAGCACTATTTCAAAATTAACTTAGTTTGAAATAGTTAATTTGAACTAAGCTAATTTGAAATGACGCATCTATACACAAAAACTATTTCAAAATAGTGCATCCACACTGAGTGGACCCTAAACTGAAGTTAAGGCTGGCCAGAACCAGTGCTGGCAGGTCATCAGGTTAGGACTTGAGTGGGTGGGGCTGCTGCCTGAGGCTAACTGAGCTCCATGCTTAAAGGGACGCTACCCTCACTCCAGACAGACAGTTCTCAGGAGGAGGGAGCTAGAAGGGGGGAGCAAAGGGAAGAAGGGTCAGGGGAAGCTCAGGGCTCGCTAGACCAACCTGACTTTCATTGAAACCTGCTCCTGGGTTCGCATGTGGCCTTTGATGGGCAGGCTGGCAGCTATCCTACCGATGGCCGAGTACCTCCATCTAGGGCTGAGATCATGAAAGTCGGAGGCATCCCCCCCCAAACCTGAATAAGGTCTATGATCTCCAACCTGGACCAGGAAGGCACCCACTTCTCCAGCCAATCAGGCTCCTGGGAGCTGGCAGACTGCTCCTGGGGAGCGGTGGAGGGCTGGCTGCCAGTGGCTTGCTGGCTCATGTTTGGGGCCACTGGGTCAGGGGTCCTGGTAGCCACTGCTGGCTCTGGGCTGGCAGGCTTGGAGCTGGAGCAGGCACTATTAATGATTCCAGGGCTGGGGGAGAGGAGAGTAAGTTTTCTTGGTTGTGCCCAGAGTGGCCAGTAGGGCTCCCTGGGAAGGGCTGGAAGCCCCCTATTTCCAATTAGCTATTTCAAATTAGGTGTTATTCCTTGTAGAATGAGGTTTACTAATTCAAAATAAGGGCTCCCCTATTTCAAATTTATTTCGAAATAGTGGTTTGTATGTGTAGACAGCTATTACAGTTAATTCAAAATAACGGCTGTTATTTCAAATTAACTGTAGTGTAGGCATACCCTAAGGGATTAAGAGATGGACACAAGAAAATAGACACAAGAAATGTTATGCATGTGTGAGGTTGGCTATGTTTAAAAAGATATTTACTAGGTCTTAAAAAGTATCAGTACACTTACATGCCTCCCACACTATAGCCATGTAGACCGCCAATATGCCCCAGAGCTATATAAATATTATGAGAGGGGTAATATTGATTTCTATATTCATAGTATATGCATCCTATATTTGTGTGAGAAACATTAGATGCAGAAATCTCCATGGCTATGTCTCGACTGGCATGATTTTCCACAAATGCTTTTAACGGAATAATTTTTCCGTTAAAAGCAGTCGCAGAAAAGAGCATCTAGATTGGCACGGACGCTTTTTCACAAAAGTGCTTTTTCCGGAAAAGCGTCCGTGCCAATCTAGATGCAGTTTTGTGCAAGAAAGCCCTGATCGCCATTTACGCAATCATGGCTTTTTTTCGCAAAACAATACCACATTGTCTACACTGGCCTTCTTGCGCAAATGCTTTTGCACAAGAGGGCTTTTGCCTGAACGTGAGCAGTGTAGTATTTCCGCAAGAACACTGAATCTTACATGAGATCGTCAGTGTTCTTGAGGAACTTCCAAGCGGCCAGTGTAGACAGCTGGCAAATTTTTCTGCCAAAGCAGCTGCTTTTGTGGAAAAACTTGCCAGTCTAGATGCAGCCCATATGTCTAGGTAATAATAGTGATAGAGGCAGAAACAGACTGGCAGATAAACAGCATCTCTCAACACAGCTAGGATAAACTTTATATTTTATCAGCCCTATCACTTTTGCTCTTCATCTCTACACTTGGGGTGTGTGGTTCCCCGCTCAGAGAGACACTCACATTTGCGGTCATTGAGCTGGTGCACTAAAATAGAACAATGTGATGGCAGTACAAGTGATGGGAAGGGCTAGATGCCCCAAGGATGAGCCCATCAAAGACCTTAGGCATGCACTCAGGGCTGTTTGCCGATCTGCCACTTGCACTGGTCTCCCTTAAACTTAAACTGCACTATAAATTATGGGTTCGTCTACACTGGCCCCTTTTCCGGAAGGGGCATGTAAATTTCATGAGTCGTAGTAGGGAAATGCGCGGGGGATTTAAATATCCCCCGCGGCATTTAAATAAAAATGTCCGCCGCTTTTTTCCGGCTTTTAAAAAAGCCGGAAAAGAGCGTCTACACTGGCCCCGATCCTCCGGAAAAAGCGCCCTTTTCCGGAGGCTCTTATTCAAAGTAGGAATAAGAGCCTCCGGAAAAGGGCGCTTTTTCCGGAGGATCGGGGCCAGTGTAGACGCTCTTTTCCGGCTTTTTTAAAAGCCGGAAAAAAGCGGCGGACATTTTTATTTAAATGCCGCGGGGGATATTTAAATCCCCCGCGGATTTCCCTACGACGACTGGTGAAATTTACATGCCCCTTCCGGAAAAGGGGCCAGTGTAGATGTAGCCGTATAGATTCATTGTATTTTTAGTGCACTAGTTCCATGAGATGGAATGTCAATGTGTCTCCTCAAGATGTGATTTGCACCCACTCCCTGCTCCAAGATGTACTCCATCCACAAGACGACATGCTGATGTGGTTCTCTGTCACACAAGGTATGCACACAGGCCTTACATCTATGTAGTTGGCGTTTATATAGTCAGAGTGTGGGTCTCCATCCAACAGCTGCAGTCTCACTCTCGAATGATCATCTAGAACATGAAAAGAAAGAGCAATGTTAAAGATGTCTCGTGTGCTTATGTAGCTGTCCTTCAGCAGTGGGAAATTCAGGAGGCAGATGCAGTATAACTGGGCTTTTCAGTTGCTCCTTTTTGTAACTGGTTGATTGAGCACATTCAGCTGTGTCAAGCCATTACTGGGTTAACTCTACATTTGTTTTTTTACTTATTTTTGGTGTTGAAGGTGCTACCTTTACATCCCGGGGTTCTCTTTTATTTATAGTAGGTATTAATTATTCACTGAGGTTAGTATAATACGTTACAAGATTTCAGATATAACATGAACATCCTTCATTTTCTGGATCTTATCCATTCTCTTGTTAAGCGTCCAGATCAAAAAAGTGAACACTTCTCAGAACTTGTTAGCCTGCTCAGAAAAGGGGCCAGGGTTTGACAGGACTATGGAAAGTGAAGTAAGAGTTGAGTTTATGATTGTCAGAGAAGAGAAAAATAAATGAGGTCACGAGAGGTATGCAAAATACTAAATATAAAGATTGTAAATCAGTCTCTCCTCTCATCTTATGGAGAAGAGACCTATGAATCTTGAAAGCTTCTCCCTTTCATCAGCAGAAGATACTCCAATATACGTCTACATATACTCCCTAGTTGGAGCTAGGGATGCAAATGTAGCCGACCAAAATTGCCAATGAAGCTGGGATTTAAATATTCCATGCTTCATTAGTATAATCTCACCTGCATGTGATTTTTTGAGAAGTAATGTTAGTTTGAACCAAAGGGTTTGATTCAAACTAACACGTCCCGGAGTGCGCTTCCTGGTTCAAATCAGCTGTTGAACAGAATAATGTGTGGGCAAGATTATGCTAATGAAATGCAGGATATTAAATCCCTGCTTCATTAACAATTTTGGTCAGCAATATTTGCATCCCTAGCTCAAAGTAGGGAGCAAATATAGACATATTAAAGTTATTATTTCACCCACCTTGTCTGTCTTAAGAAACAAACTGGCTAGGTCTAGACTGGCCAGTTTTTCTGGAAAAATCAGCCGCTTTTCTGGAAAAGCTTGCCAGCTGTCTACACTGGCCGCTTGAATTTCCACAAAAGCACTGACGCTCTTATGTAAGATTGAGAGTGTTTTTGCAGAAATACTATGCTGCTCCCATTCAGGGCAAAAGTCCTTTTGCGCAAAACTTTTGTGCGAAAGGGCCAGTGTAGACAGCCGAGATTTGTTTTCCGCAAAAAAGCCCCAATCGCGAAAATGGCAATCGGGGCTTTTTTGCAGAAAAGCATGTCTAGATTGGCATGGACGCTTTTCCGCAAAAAAGTACTTTTGAGGGAAAGCATCGTGCCAATCTAGACACTCTTTTCCAAAAATACTTTTAACAGAAAACTTTTCCGTTAAAAGCATTTCCAGAAAATCATGCCAGTCTAGACGCAGCCACTGGGTATTGAATAAAACTGAAAAATATGAAATTTAAAACAGATAACAAGGACTATTCTATTTACGCAAATATCCACAACACAATTAACCTACATAATTCATTGCAACAAGGTATCACTGAGGCCAAGAGCTTAGCAGACTTTAAAAGCTTTAAGGGGTACTGAGAACATCTTCTGTTACTGTAGAGAGGGCAAACAGCATAAACCAATCACTGCCTGAAGTTATGAACACAACTCTCAATGAGCTGATTATTCCAGAAATTTGCACTGAAGATTTCTTCACCTTTCTCTGGTTCTGGCTGGCTGTGACAGACATGATTCTGGGCTAGTTGGGTCACTCATCTGGTCTGGCAAATGTTACAATGTTCCTATGTAATTATATACAGAAAAGTAGCCCAATGTCTGAGTCTGTAACACTGAAATGCTGGCTGTTCCCTCTGGGCAGCCCGTACTGCACAGAGAGTGTGGGGCCCAACTGGCTTTTGCTCCCCTGCCGCAGCCCAGCTGAGCAGCACAGAAGTCAGCTGAGCACCACAGCGGGAGGCGAAGGGTGGTGGGGCAGTGACATGCGGCATGACAGCGGCTCCAGACCCTGCCCCCGGCCGTGAACGTCACCACCCCACCCCCCCTTCCCCCCCCGCCCTG